TTGCTCCTAGTAGCGATGCCAGGAGCCCCTAATAGCGTCCTTGCTCCTAGTAGCGATGCCAGGAGCCCCCAATAGCGTCCTTGCTCGTAGTAGCCATGCTAGGAGCCCCTAATAGCGTCCTTGCTCCTAGTAGCGATGCCAGGAGCCCCTAATAGAGTGATTGCTCCTACAAGTAGTAGCGATGCCAGGAGCCCCTAGTAGCGTCCTTGCTCCTACAAGTAGTAGCGATGCCAGGAGCCCCTAGTAGCGTCCTTGCTCCTAGTAGCGATGCCAGGAGCCTCTAATAGCGTCCTTGCTCCTAGTAGCGCCTCACTTGTGAAGGAAATCTGCAAAACGTTTGTCTGGAGACTGGAGACTTCTTGTCTCTGCTTTGGAGGAAGTCTTGCATGAGAGTGTCAAACAAGAGTCTTACAGTACAAATTTCACACAGTCTGATGTTCGGTTTGTTCTACATTTGGGTTCGCGGTTCGTGGGTTCAATCTCTTCTTTCTTATCAGATCTATCCTTCATCATCACCACACATGCTTGCAGCCTTGCAGCTTCCAAGTCGCTCATTAAAGTTGTAAAAACGCGTTGGCATCAACAAGCAATGACACAACTGCTAAATTGATTGCTCTTTTTGCCTAGCAATCCCGAAACGAGCTGGCTGTTGCAGCCACACGTCAACAAGTCTGAACACGTCTGAGCATCCCACAATATTGCCTTTGGCTTTACAGCAGTATATCTCGGCAATGTGCCGAGGGTTGAAGCTTGATCTCTATCGCACTGACTGCGAACAAAAGAAAGCACACAGCAACTTTGTTGGCTCCCTCCATTGACACATTGTTCATTGTGTGCCAAGCCCTTTCCATGGTCTCTTCGTTGAATAGAAAACCCCGCGAGAAGCTCTGGCCGGGCCTCAGCACCGAAGGGACTCGACAAAGCAGGGCAGCCGTGTGAACGTGCTCAGCACCATTGTACACATGGGAAAGATTTTGCAACGTACAGTAACTCATGTCACATGTCACATGTGTCAATTGGGCCGAAAGTCCAAGCCTGGCTTTCAACACACCACCGATTACCCCCTTGTCATGTCAAGGCATAAGCTGGCTGTCTGCAGTGACAAAGCGCACTCCAAATAAGTCAAGGCCTTGATGCAACGGGACACTTCAAAGCATCGGATCCTCACAATAATGTCAAGGTGCCGAAGCCAACCCAAGCTACGGACATATCCAGTACCTGAGTTCCCAGCGGCAACTGGTTGCTTACCAGTTACTAGCTACAGTCACAGTAGTTATCTGCGCATGTTTGGGTGTCTGTCTTGTGCTGCCGTAATTCCCATTTACTGTATATACTTGGAAAATGCTCAAGCAAACAGCCTCTAGCTCACAATGATTGATTGATAGGAAAATGGCTGGTCTGAGCTACAACCGAGGTGAAGACCAGGTATGCCATTGTTAATCTTGGATTCCAAGGTTCGAGCTCACCGCCTTTCTGCTTTCGATTGATGGCACAGTTTTTTTGTGGAGCCTAAGTGCTGCAAGGCTCATAAGATGGACTTCACGGTGACTCTCCAACCTACTAGCAATGGCCTCCAAACTAATATCGGCAGCGATGGCCTCCAACCTAATAGCATCCTATGTAGACTCACACCAACACCTGTATGGTATGCTGCTCCAAAGTCGGTTGTACTCTCTCTGAGCCTCGCGGGTAGCAGAACCAGTACTTATTGGTCCTTCAACTTCGTCCTGTAGCTTGTCTGCCACAGAATCAGAATCTACAGTACTAACTCCCAAAGGTCGCACGTGTGATGTATCTTGGGTGGGATTCACAACATATCAAAAGCGTTCCCTTCAGCTTGAGGTGCGCTCAACTCCTGTCGTGGCTGGATAGCTTAGCTGGTGGAAATATAATGAAATAATTCTAAATATCCACTGTCCATTCTCACATGTTCTCACCCGGTTGGGGCTGGAGAAATCAACATGCTCTGGGTGTTTTGTTCAGGTGAAGCAAGCTGGCCATGCTGGTGAGAGCAACCACCTTGGGCCTCACCCATATCAGAACGTGTATATAATATATATATATACACCGTATATATTAGCCTTTTCAGCCTATCAAGAAAATGGATTCGGCTTCGTGTAGCCACAAGCTGCAAAACATGCCGTACCTTGGGGCTGAACCGTTGAGTCGTTGCTCCTGTGCTCTATCTGGATTCAACAGCGACTCGGTCGCGGCTTGGAACATCCCCCAACTACCAGTTGGGAAGCAGGATCGGTGAGTGTCTTTGGATCCACACTTTGCCATATCATCATGTTGACAGCCGAACTGTAAGCAGCTTGGGTTGCAATATGATAGCAAGCACCTTGGCACTGAGTCAGTGCCAAGGTGCTGATGACGACAATAATGCATTTGCTTTAGCTCTACGCGCTCATCAAGGCTGTTCGCATTTGCAGCACTGCGGCTTGAAGACACGACGTGCAACCAGTTCGCAGCAGACACCCACAGCCAAGCCAATGCCAGATGGGGTCAATCCCCTTGTTGTCTGAATTTAGGCATGAGACAAGTCATACCCACCAACACCTCGAAGTCGCCAGGTTGTCTGTTACAAGGATTTGTAACTTCACTCAAAAAGTCATCATGGAACCAGCTATTGTACACCTTCATAGCCTGCTTGCAGTGCAAATCGAAGCATACTCTGTTTCCACCTTCTTTGAGGTGTTTTGTATGATTTTTGCTGTCTTCACTCCTGTCATGGAGATGGCTAGATCTTCACCCGCTCCCCTCAACCCCACAGCAAATGCTTTTCACTGAGTTGTCGTTTGCATTGCTTTGCTCGAGCTACTGGGGAAAGTTGAGGCCAAACCATCTTGCCATCTCTATCAAATCCCCTTACCCTTCTACGTGGTCTGAAGAGCAAATACATACATTGTCCCTAGCTGCTACTGAGTATGGCAGTGCGCTGATGGAAGCTTGCCTGTGTTCAATTGAAGGCTTCCCTGCATTGCTAGCATCATGGCACGTGTCCTAGGAAGTATGCACTGGTGCTCCAGGAAACTCTTCAGAATACCTCCAAGCCCCGCTTATATAGATATCCTAGGATCACTGGGTTCAAGACGTCTGGGATGGGAGCCTCGTGCGGTGGTACGCCTTCCACTTGACCTGGAAACTAGTTCGTTTCCGTTGAGTTTTACACTCAAACACGCCAAGCAAGCTCTGCTTGTGAACGGGTGGCAACTGCAACCACGATGTATATAACTAGCCATTCCTCTCTTCATGCAACAAATCTGCAGCAAGAGTAAAGCTACCATGTAAAGATGTGTAAACAATGAGAAAAAATGCAACCTGAAACAACTAGGCCACAGTTTTCCTGGTTCAATCTCAGGCAATTGCGGCCCAACCAGTAGTGTGCACCAAAGAGCTGCATCTTCTTGGCTCTCTCCAAGACCTACTGATCGGATGTAGGAAGAGCAGGTTTTATTCACTGAAAGTTCGCTTCTGTCTCTCTCTCGCTTATTCATTTGCCAATAATATCCGACAATGTTATTCTTCATGTCATGTCATATTCTTTAAAAAAATATGACACCGAAGCTCTGGGTCTGATGCTGCACTCATTTTCAGCAGCCTGGATGCCTCCAGAGCTTCACCTTAGGAAAAGAACGCCCAAGAAAAAATAACATTAAATATTTTCCCGAATGCGTAGCGAAGGGTTCTCGTTTAATTCTGGGGGTCTGGGAGTAGAGCCTTGTTCGCGACTTGTTGTCTTTGCGTTCGCAACCGTCCGCAATTGTTCGCCGCCGTTCACAGTAGGGCGCTAAGGCCGCTGCCATTGGGGGAACCTTTTGGAGAGGGTTTCGGATGAAAACGTGACATGTCAGATTCGTGTCAAAAAGCGTGGAAACATCTGCAAATGTAAGATGTTGAAGTATGGAGGTTGAGTTCACTGCGAATCATTCCAAACGTGTGGCGTGGTGCAAATTTTGTTGAAGCTCACATGAGATGATATTGTCACTTTTCGTGGCAGGCACAGTACTGTGTGCGGGCTTTGAGGTGTGGAAGTGCGATTTTCGTGGCAGGCGCAGGGAATCGTGAGGTTGTGAGTTGCGGTAGAGGTGAATGTCGCTGTGACATTGAGTCTTGTGCAGTTGTAACTAGCACTTATCCAGTTGTAAAGTGGATCTTAGGGAAAGCAGGTTTACCACATGTGCCCGCAGCATCGCCATCCTGTTTTCCCCAGAAGCATCCGTTTCAAGAGCACAATTTCATGTGCATGGAACCCCAGATTTCAATGGCCATCACCATATTTGATCTGTAATGGCATCACCCAGACTTCAATGGAATAGAACAACATGTAAGTTCTACAACTTCCTTACCAAATGGCCATTGGCTCACATCTCAGAAAACTTCAGTACCCTGATCGCTGCTGGGTGATCAGCAGGGGCTTCTGCCAAAATCCACCTAGGATGCAGCAGCAGCATGACAATGGACGGATAGTGCCACCGAAGAAAAGGACATATACAACCTTCAGGATTTACCCCCAGGGGGATTTATTTACTTGGATTTATACAACCTTTAGCATTTCCCCGCTGGGGCGCTTCTTGCGGGCATTTGCTGCCATAGTCTTGGCCGTCTTCGGAGACTTTCCAGCAGCTTTGGCTGCATGATGGACATTGGAGTAGACCTTGGACAGGAGGGTGTCCAGTGTTTGTGGTAACATGTTGTTGTATTCAAAAGCCGTGAGCTTATACTGACATTGGCGCAGCAAGAAACCCATTAGAATCGTTAGAATGGTTTTTGGTCGCGCAAAAACATCTTGTTTTAAGCTAGAGCACGGCGTGCATCTTCTTTTCAACATCATCTTTGACCCTCACCTTCCTCTTTGCCTGGCTTTTAGCCTGTGCGTGTGCTCTCACCTTTGGTGCCTGTGCCTTGGGAGCGGCTTCCTTGCGAGCGGCTGGCTTGCAAGCGGTTGGCTTGCGAGCGGCTGGCTTGCGGCTGGAGTGCTTTGCATTGGCTGATGGCTTTCGCTTTGCGGTGGCTGCTTTGGCAACTGGTCTTGGGCGAGGCTTTTGCTTTGCAGTGGCGCCTGACGGTGCCATGTGTGGCACTGTAGATACGTCCTGTGATTCTTCACTTGCTGGCTCTACCAAAGCCAAAGAGGTTGGTGTCTGGGTGTCGTCCCCTGGATCTTCCTCCATGTTCGCTGTGAGCATGTGCTTTGGTGTTGTGCAAACATGACCTTCCATCTCATCAGCGTTTGCTGTTGTGGCCAGATGGTCGTCCATCTCATTGGAAGGGATTGCGATTGGCGCTGTGGACTCATGGTCGTCCATCTCATTGGAAGGGATTGCGATTGGCACTGTGGACTCATGGTCATCCATCTCACCGGAAGGG